CACATCTGCGTACGGTCGCTTAACACCAAGCCTTAGCCTGTCCCCGCGGTTTTATGAGCACAAAAACATTCTGAAATTATGCAAACTGAACCGAAAAATGTGAAATTATGCGATTCTGTTAATTTTAACAAAGAATGATAAAGAAAAATAATCAGGAATTATGCAAAAAAAACGATCAAATTTTGCTAAATTATGCGGGGTGCATAAAACCACGGGGACAGCTTTGCGCAGGTAGAGCGTACGGTCCCCTAGCGCCAAGCACTATTGGGGCGTACAGTCCCCTAGCGCCAAGCACTATTGGGGCGTACAGTCCCCTAACATCAGCCTTCTCAGAAAGGAATGGTTTGTTTTCTTCATCTCTATCAGTCCTGCCTAAGACGGCCACCTGTCCTATATTCCTATATGGCCACTTTTCTCCTTGACAATGGGTGGCCGTCTTACTACACAGGTTCGACTAGATCTAGATCTAGATCTAGTTTTTGTTTGTTTTGTTTTGTGGTCGAATGGGAAAGGAAAACTTAATTAAGACGGCCAGTCACGATACAGCACACTAGGCCTACACACTGCAGGAGCGTGCGTACCCTGAATTTTACCATAACTTGATCCCTGTTGCATCACTGGACTTTGTGCTGCCTATTGCAATTTGGTCATCAAGACTTCTGGATTTCTTGATGTAAACAAACGGATCGTGGACTAACTTTAACGGAAAGTTTAACTAGAGATGATCACCTACACACCTACCTGAGCAGATACTGAATTGAGCTTTACTTATATAAAACAGACCTTCAAAAATCAGAATGCCTTACGGCATCAGAAAGTCTCAGCCAAGGTCCATTCATAAAATGAAGTGTGTAAATCGCCTACTAAAGTAGAACTAAAAAGCTGACATTTCTCATTTCGCGGTCCATGGTCCATGACAAACTTCCGGAAGTACTCTCAGCAGTATAGAATTGCAAATCGAGCTTTTAAGAAAAGTATCAGGTCACTTTCACCTTTTAATTAATCAATTATCTCTAATACATGATATTGAATAGCGTGTCAGCCTGTCTGTCTGCCTGTCTGTCTGTCTGTCTTACTGCCTGTCCGTCTGTCTGCCTCTCTCTCTCGCTCTCTCTCTCTCTCTCTCTATATATATATATCTCTCTCTCTCTTCACTAAATGAAAGATTATCCGATGCAACCGAAGTCCGAAGTCCGAAGTTGATAGGTTATTCCAACTGATTCTTCAAAAGAACCCTCCCCGGACCACCCAATGACCAGAACCACTAGGCCTAACTATACATAGATCTATATATCCATCTTTGTTGTTCTAGTGTTTGTTTGGACGACGAGTGTGGGTGAAAAAAAAGTGGAAAGGGGGGGAGGGTCTCTGCAGCTTGTTATCAATGGCCTTTGCTGACCTATTGACCTATTGACCTACGACCCATCCGGAATCCGGAACCTCGATTTCGATTTTGTTGTCATGTTGTTACAGATGGCGGCCACTGGGGTTATGTGCGTTTAAATCTTTGTAGAATTCCTATGAAGGTTTTGATGAAGTGGTTCATTCATAGGTAGCTCATATGTTTGAAACCAAGGAGCATTCGTGCACTCTGCGGAAAGTTCTGAATACTGTCTCCTGTCTTTCTTTTTGAAACATGCCTGGCGAGATGACAACTCCCGATCCCGAGTCCTTGTTCTCGTTGGAACTTGTTGTTGAGAAAGTTTATGTGCCTCACACACCTTGCAGATTTCCAGCTGTTGTTTTTCGTCTTTTGGATTTCCCAACAATCGTCATAAGCCACGTTGAAGATGACTTAGAAAAGGCAATCCGCCGAAAAATATCACTTGATCCCCATTATCACCTACCAGATCAGTTCTCAGAACTAAAAGACAGACATGGTAACTTCATGATAAAAAAAGGTAAATCTTGCCTGTTCAAAATATCTGCAGACATACTGAAACAACATCTTGCAAGCACACCCCTCTATGTCATGGCTATAGATATGTTTCCAGAAGTACCCAAGCTGATTGGAAACAGCACAGTTCCCCTGAATTCTTTGATGGACTCTATCTGTGTTGATATAGCGAGACTTGGAGCCACAGTACCATCTGTTCATGGAGATAAGGGTTTATTCAAGTTATACAACTTAATGGGCAAAGAGATTGGTTATTTTGTGCTTGGTTTCCGTTTACTCTGTTTGGGGCCGAGCCTTATTGCCCATCTGCCTGCGTCTGCTTTGATGCAAAGACATGGAGCGCAAAAAAAGCGGATCAAACATGTTGAAGAAATGCTTCATACTGCTGATCAGGAGGAAGATGAGGAGTCAGATGAGCCGGTGGTGGAATTAAGAAACTCTGCATGTATGACTGAACCAATTAAGCATGATGTGCTCCTTCAGACTATTGAAATGGATGACAAAGCAGTTCATGTGGAGGTTGGTGGCACGGAAATGCAAACTCAAACTAATTTTGTTTACAGAAAAGAATCCAGCACAACTGCAACACAGACTGATAAGAAAAAGAAATTGAAAGAAGCTTTGAATGCAAAGCAAAAGTGGGTGGAGCAAATTGAACACAAAGTTGAGGATGATGATGTTATTATCCACAATATAGTATGCCCACCACCACTTTTCTACAATAGTGAAGCAACTCCGTCTATTGAAATTGAAAGACAGCATCAGGTTTTATTATCTCAGCAAGATGATATCTCTGTGGAAGATTTGTCTGACATTGAGAGTTATGATGGGCAAGGCCTTCACAAACCAAAAAGATCAAGGTCTTTTGATTTAGATGAGCAGTTTCCCCAAGCCCAACTTGTGTCAAAATCTCCAAAAGCAGAAAGAGTCCCTCAACAAAGCTCTCACCTTTCCAGTCAGATTCCTCAAGCCAGAGCTGGGGAATTTATCCAAGGACTGCAAGTTGCTCCTCGCTCAAATGCTGTGTTTCCTCTGCTGACAGCGCTAATCAATGAATTGTCATGTATTCAGGACCCACAGCTTTTGTTAAATGTATCAAATAGAATACAGACAGCAAGGCCAAGACCGTCATTGTCTCAAAGAGGAAATGAGCAAAAGAGTCAGTCAGAGGAAGACAAAATATCGCCAGCCGTAGTGTCAGCTGTGGCTGCAGCATTATCCAAAAAGCTTGAAAATTCAAAAGACAACATAAGAGATATGAGTAGGCAAGCAGATAAGGCTCCAAGTGCGCAAAACTTAGGAAAAGGTGATCGGCCCCAGAGACAAACTGATGCACCAAAAGGCATTCCATCTCAAGCTGCTAAGAAGAACAAACTTGCTTTTGGGCTTACCAACACTCAGAGGCTGAGGTTACAGAAGACAAACCCAGCTTGGCTGAAACAGGCAGAGCAGCAGGCAGAGAAAATCAAGTCTCAGTCTCAAAAACAACCTCCTGCCAAGAAACTGCAGTTAGATGATATGAATGCTACCACCTTCTCCGATACCCTTACAGAAGTGAGACGACTTGCTGAGAAAGAGTTAGAAAGTACCGCAGGTGGTGATACCCTTCTCCTGGTAGCAAGTGAAGTTGAAGAAATGAACTCAACTCTAGGGACTAAAGAAATGAGTAAGAAACCCTTGAAAAAAACAAGCTCTGGTGGAGGCACTCCTTCCAAATCAAGGTTACGAGAGTTTTCACCTCAGCATAAACCTCGTGGCAATGCTCCTCTACCAAAAGCCAGAACAAGACTTCGCCACCGACGGGAATCTCAGCAGAATAACATGAAAGACTCGTCAGATTCAGACGAGGTGGCAAAGAAGAGACCCGTGCCTTTAGAACGACATACTCGGAACATAAAGTCACCTGTAGTTGCTGATCAAGAAGGTGGAGCCTATAATGGTACGTTTGCAGTAGTTAGAAAAATATATCGAAGATCAGAGCATGATGGCAAAGAAAGTTGCTTGCTTTTTAATTAAGTATTTTCAAAAATGATTGTTAGGAAAGTTTTCTGTATCCTACATTTACAATATATGCAGGGGAGGTGGAGGGTGTCTGTGCCTGTCTTTATTTTTGTTATTTTGTATTTTGGTTGGCGAGTAGAATTGTCAACTGAATTATTTATTTTATATATTCTGGCTTTGTGTAGATCATAAAAGCATGCATTTTAATTTCTTACTCAGGAGGGTCAATCAAGTGTCATCTTAATTTCTTAAAACCTAGTTTTACTGTTTAATTAACACTTGTCTGTATTTTGTGTAAACATAAAGTCTGAGTTGGACACTTCGGATGTCTTTTTTTTTTGCTTACATAATAATGACAACTCTATTAACACTTTGCCATCACAAGGCTCATAATATAATATAGTAAAAACTCTTGCTGTCAAAGGCATTTTGGAGAAAATCCAAAGAAACTGGGTGGTAAAATCGCCGATCAGCGAGATGAGGCGGCAAAGTGTTAAGCATTTACTGATTTGCTGCAGGGGTTATCAAACTTTCAAAGCTTACTTTTGATTGTTGAAAATTATTAATGGGGAACTTTCACAAACCAATGAAAACAATGACCCTTGCAAAGACTGACACATATGTCTATTTATTTAATCATAATTAATTTGAAAGGTGGGTCAGTCATTGTTAAAAATAGATAAGCCTATCAGGCATTTTGGATTAGCATTAGTCGGCAGTGAAGTCTGGCCACCGGAATGTGACCGGCAGCGGATGTTACTCCTTGTTTTGTTGTGAAAAGATCTAACGGCTGACAACACAGGTTGATACTCATGGTTTTGTTGAGAGCGTGTTGCTCAATTTTCTCTTAATAAACTTTACCCTTTGAAAACGAATCTGAACTGTTATGCTTGCATGACTGATGTGAAAGAAAACTATTAGATCTAGCCTATAACTATTATAGTCATGACTGGAATTGGGGGGTAAAAATTCTCTTGGTATTAACTCATCTTTTAAAATGTTTATTGTAGGCTACTATATTCAAGCAACTGTTTTAACTGTTGACCCATCATGAATTTAATATTACTGATTTTATCATAATAACAAGAGTTAACCTTAAATTACTTAAAAGATAGCATGGATAACAAGCATAAAACGTTTTAATAATATTTGTTTGTGTAGACTTTTTTCATCATGAAATATAAGTATAGTGCGTTGAACATTATATCTGTGTCTCTGTTGTGTGTGCATTAAAGTATGCTGAATGTGTGTATGCCTTCCCTAGTAGTGTCTGAATGATCACAGCGACAAGAGTTAACCTGAAGAGAATGCAAGTATGGCAAGCATTTGCCTAATTTTGATAATATTTTTCTATGTTGATCCCTTTTCACACAAGATATAACATTATTTTGAGCATCTGTCTTTCTTTGTGTATATGTGTAAGATTATACTCTCTGATAAAATATCATGTATTCTTCTCGGGTGTCTGAATGATTGATTTCTATAACAATATATGTGGTTAGATATTTTAGAATTTAAGACCCAAATATGGAGAGATTGGTGGCAATTCAGTTTTGACTTTTTTATAGTTCATGCCATAATTATAAATAGAATGAATTATTGTTATAAATAATACATAATATATTATAATTTTTTTTCTTCAGAAAATGAGGAAATTTTGAGTGCTCGCAGTGATCTTCCCAGCTCTCGGAGCAGATCAATCGAGGTTCACCTTCCGTCTGCTAAGGCAGAGCTTAATGATACTGACACCATAACAGATGCTGAGGACGATGATGAAGATATCCCACTTCCTGACGAAAGTCTAAACGAACAGTACAAGCCTCAGTCGGTAAATCTCCCACAATACATCGCGAAAAACACCTCTCTCCCTGACTCCATAGATGGTGTTCCGAATGCTTCTCTCAATGTGTCCGGGGCTCTAGATGACAACTCTCCCCTTGAATCGACTCGCCATTCCAGAAATATGACGGAGGAGCAGAATGATTCTCGAGTGCTGCAGTCGACAGATTACGACACGCGACAGTTCCACTCTACAGATGAGCCAGAGCTTCAAGAACTGATGAGTGAGGAGGAAAACCGGTCTGGAGGGGGTGAAAGTGGCAGGCGTTCGGCAGCCTCGTTGCGAACATCCCAGAAATTTCCAGTGATCAATCCACAACTCTCTGAGAACTCTCCCGTGCCTTCAGTGAGGAGGTCTACCACAAAGCTAGATGTGGGAGCCCACAGTTACCTGCCCTCCATGTCCCTGTCCAAAGGTCAGGTGTCACCTGTTTCGTCTCGACCAAACTCCAGACCTTCTACTCCCAAAGGGAAGAACCCTGACAATCTCCAGCCTCTCAACCCAAAGGGTGGGGTCATAACCCCACGTAACAGTATAACACCGAGGTCAATGTCGCCCAGTCCCAAACGCCCGACTCCAAGACAGAAAAAGCCCTTGAGAGAGTTCCGAGAGTCGATCCACACAGAGTCTCTGAGTTCCTATATGCCCTCTGACCCCGAGAATCTACTTGTTTCTCTCTCTAGTAACTCTGGTGGGAACTATTCTGACGACTTCCAACCTCTTGGCAGTGGGGAGAGTGGGGAACCTACGTCCTCTGTGGAGCAGCTCCCCAAAATTGTCCCCTCAACAAGGCTGGGCTACACTATTACATGACACTCCAGTATAATCTGTTTGGTTCAGTGTTTCTTTGGAAGCTCTTGTGTATTGCTTTTTGTGTGTGGGATAGAACCACCTTAAACAGAATATGGTTATCTTTTGTGTATTCTGTACACTTTCCTCTCTCTCTCTCTCTCTCTCTCTCTCTCTCTCTCTCTCTCTCTCTCTCTCTCTCTGTCCCTCTCTGTCTCTAATTTAGATTTATATGAGTTTGATCTGCGTTGTTTTTTCCCAGAGGAAGTTCTAATCAGATGGAAAAAGATTATTTCTGGAAAAATGACTAAAATTATATACCCCATCTTCCTCTTGGATCTGAACCCTGGACATCCTGTAATTTGGCTAATTTCATCAAGCCACTAGAACTAGATGCAACACGTATGAGTCTTGCTACATTTGTGTGCTGTTCTTCTACTTCTAGAGAAAACTTTAAGGTATCATTCCATTGTCTCCTCTCTGTCCTCCTGAAAGTAAGGTGGAATTTGGAGTCTTATCTTCTTCAAACTTTTGTTGTGAATGTGTATAAGCCCCTCCCCCACAATTCATTCTTCAGTGTGGATCATTTTGAAGCTGCATTGCATCTGCTGGCCTGTATGAAATTATGGAATATTTTTCAGCAGACAGACGAATGTACTTTATGGAATGTCTCAAACACGTGGGGATCAAACTCATATTTTCTGCGTACACAGCGGAAAGTATTCCCCTTCACAGACACAGGTGTTTCTCCTCTTCACAGCCTTGAACAAAATCTTCTCTCCACCGGTATCTCCATCTTCCTCACCCCATCTATCCTACTCCTATTTTGTTCGAACAAATTTTAAGACTTTGAGTTACCATGTAGGTCCGTGTGCCCCTGTGTGTGTATTTTGACATTTAAATGCCAGAAAGAGGTGGATTGTGCTTTTAAAATTTTAGTGGACAATTGTATAGAACTGCTTCATTTGGTGCAAACATTTTGCTCTTTTTAAAAATGGTGCATTGACTTTGGTACATGACATCCAGAGGGTTCAAGTTGCTTGCCCTATTGATATGTATAATTTGATATACTGTATATTATGTAACAGTTAGGCATGGATAAATCAAACACATAGTGGATCATCCATAACTTGGGAAGGTCCCTCTTGCGAAAAATTAAATAGATATCAGTCAGGAAATGGTAAGTTACAATTTACAAGCTATCTCTGTGATTTTGGAGTTTTACGTGTTCATGTTATCTGTGCCTGACTGTGTGGCATTGTGGTAAAATCAGGCGCTTGTTAAAATAATGAAATCAAAGAAACCTGCATTTTTTTCATTTGTTGGACAAATTTTAACAAACATATTTATTGGCTCCACACCATTTATGTTCTTTTAAAAACAAATGTCTGTGTGGAATTTTCTGAAAACTTTGATCAAAGACCCCAAAAAATGTAAATTTGCAGTTTCTAAGGACACTCAAGCTTTGGAGGCACCAAAATCGGCGTCCACTTTACAGGTAATATTTCCTCCGACATCAGGCAGGTAACCTGCACTTCAATTGCAAATATCTTGACTTTTATTCAAGATAGGTCAGACAGGTTGTTTTTTTTTCATCAGAAGCAAGACAAAATTAATTGGCTTTAGATAGAATGATACCAATAACTCATCCGTATGTATTATAATGCATATATTTTTTAAAATTTCAATGACTCTTTTTCACGACTGAGTAATGCTTACCTCCCTATTGTCCTGCAATCACTTGTTCAAGATTGTCCTTGTGGTCCAAATTCCTGGAGTTAGTGCACTACTTACAGTCATTTTTCTCATACACTCTTTACTCTTTTGTTATACAGTAGTCTCCGCCTAAACGCACGCCATACAAAAGCACGCTCTGCTCCGCTCAAACGCACACTTTCTTCATCTGACGGGTTTTTTACTCTATAATTTAGACGTACAAACGCACGGTCACTCCGTCTAAACGCACGCTCAGATCCGCGAAACACGCCGACAAGTTAAGCTTGGCAAGGGGAAATTTTCACGACAACCTGCACAGACTGCATAAGACAAGCCTATAATTTACTAGAAAACCGGATATTTGGTGAGAGTGCCCCTCACGCCGTACAAAGAGTGATGGACAGCGTTTACACACCCTACTTTCCACTGACGCATAGGTCTCGGTCTAGGGCTGGTCGGTTAAATGTTGTAAGGGGGGGATTGGGGGGACTGGAACACTGGAAATGTATCTTTGAGAGAAGGTTTCTGACTGGTGTTTGAGTGACTGCGTGTAATGTTTAGTTAAATCTAGGCCTGATGCGCGACACACGCGAATGCCGTAAAACACTTGACAGGCCTCTATAGGATAGATTAGCCAAGTAAGCCTAATCAGCTGTACTCGAAGAATTTATAACGTACTTGTTTAACGATTCACAAGAGAAAATGTTTCTCGGGGATGATTCTGCAGGAATTTACAGTCGGGGGTGCTCGCTTGGAAAGCCACGTGGCTGGTCCGTCGTCTTTGTCAACTCTGTGACCATCACCACCAAGTTTCCTCTTAGTCTTAGGCTATCTCTTCCCGACGTTTACAGTGCATATTCATTACATTGAGTTTGTCTTTCTTCCCGCCCCCCCCCCCCATTCAACGCCTTTGTATTCTTAACCCCTGTCGGGGAATCCTTCACAAAAGTCACATGTCATCACATTATCTGCCAAAATGACCCCCTCCTTCCAAGGGAGGTCACTAGAGTAATAAGGCAATGACATGACCGCGTCCCTTCCTCCCATTGCAAAGGTTCATGTAAACGCACGCTCTGTGTAAACACACGCTAAGGAGCCCTCCGGAGCACCGTGCGTTTAGGCGGAGACTACTGTACTTTTATGTGAATCAAATTGTCTAAATACTGCACTAATTTCTCCGCTGATGTTAAGAGTAAAAGCTTTGTAGCTCTGCATTGTTGGGGCTGCTTAGAAGCTCTCCACAGTTCTATAATTTAATAATGCAGACTTTTGAAGGTAACTCGGAGAACTCTACAATAAGGAAGCCTCTGTGCAATGTTGAGGTTGTTAGATTTTAATCTGGAGAACTTTATAATTAGCCCCGTGATGATCTTCCATGACATGATAAAACTATTGTACATCAAAGGAGACCATGGATATGACATGAATGTGCAACAAGCTAATTCATAGAAAACAGCAATTCATCCTATGAATATATCTTAATCTTAGTTTTCCTCCTTTGTTCAGGGAACACAGAAATAGTATAGTTTATCTGAATGAATATCACTTCAATCAAGTGCATGCACTGATACAGTATCCAGACAATATACTCACTTTAAGTTAAGATATCCTGAGCCCATGATCTACCCTAGGTTAATGTGTTTTATTTATGGCACTGGAGCGTGACTTTCAAAAATTACATATCGTGTACTGTTTAAGATATAATATAGTATGACTTCTACTTGACTTCCTTTTATCTTTCAGTTTTGAATCTTCAGGTGTTTCTTGTACAGCTATTTCCAGTTTGAATCTTTAATGGTTCAGTACTTCTGATATTTATTTACATCTATGTTTGTGTCAAAGTTCTGTTTAACATTATCCTTTGCCATGACATCAGCTACTCAGAATTATAAAGTGTATCCTGATTACATTTATTTTAATATTTTATATCCAAAACTCAAGTATCCGATTTTGAAAGAAAATGGACTTCCATATATTACAGTAAAATTATGTATTTATGTTAAGTTTGTTGTTTCAGTTTTTCTGTATTTTCTGTTATTGTTTTGTGTTTTTAAAAAATCAAGAGTACAGTATAGAACTTGTGCACATCACATGTGAAAGTGAAAGGGATTAACTCAATATATAATTATCAGGGTTGCGACTTTGATCATTTTTCTAATATGATTTAGTCGTGGTGGTTGGAGAGGGCCACAGGTAGGCTCTGCTTCTTCACTTTCTCTCTGTTTTTACTGTCTGTATGTCTTTCTTTTCTCCTGCACTAAATGGCCATTATTGTGTGGATGAGTTTCTCTTTACTTTTTGGCGAATATAATCATCGTGCAAACTTGCACACTTTTTCGGGAAGAATGATTCAAGTTTGCACATAAAATTCACAGCTGAGGCATCCGTCCCTTTCTCTTCAGAGGAATAGGTTTTTTTTAGGTGGCGGCAGGCAACAGTCACAGAAGAGTGGCCAATGGCTGAAGACTTGAGAATGAAGTGTTGATCTTGGGTGTCGTTAGGACTTTTTTGAGGCATTTAGTTGATCCACAGAGTGTAAAAAGTCGAACTATTCTTTTTTATTTACTTCATGTCCCTTCAGAAGAAATGTCACGTAAATACTGTGTCCAGTTCACCACATATCATCAATGCGTTTCTAATCCTGCATCATGGTATAGGCTTCTAATAATAATGAACATTTTCCTCCTTTCCTTGTCCTGGGCTTGCCTCTTGGTGTTACATGTGTTCCATGTCTTCCCACTTTTCTGTACATCATTCTCTATGACCGTTCTCCAAGTTCCAGGTGGCTTTCTCTTTGATCTCTTTCTCTGTGGATTCCAATCCAACACTTTCTTTGCTATGCAGCTGTCTGGCTTACATCATGCATCATACCTACCAATACTTGACTGCTCTACTCTACCACATACTGACTGAAGTGTCTTTAGGCCATTCCCAAAGGGGGGGGATATTATCATGTTCTTATGCACAGTAGAATTGTAAATGGGCTGATTTATCAATGTAATGCTTAAACTGTGCCGGAACAACATGGGGGAACTGCCGCTTTTTCTTTCTTCATCCTTACTTATTACTATCGGTATCGTCCTTTTCCCTCTACTTCTTTGTGTTTTTAGAGGGGTGAGCAGAGTAAGCCTGATTCCCCGTTTGGACTTCTCTGTTTCCACCCCTTGGCGCTCATACTCATATGACCTTATGCAGTTGCGAGCACCGTAAAATGTTACTAAAACAAACAAGCTCTACCACAGAAGGGCTACAGCTGAGCTATATCTGAAAAATTGAGATTTACTACAGGCAGACGGGATGAGAACAGAGGTCATAGGTTGTGCCTCTCTTCTTTCTCTTCCTATTCTTTATGACTTTAAATTTGTCTTTTTCAGGACGCACTAAAACTGAAATTTCTTTCAATAAATCTCGATAAAGCTGTGGGTTTTTTTCCTTTATGCAGTTAAGTCACTTGTTTTGTACAGAATAGGTACAAGACGTTGACCTTTCTTTGACCTTACTGCTCCATCCCCCAGTACAGGATGGTGCTCAAATTACTGTGAACAAGTACATTGGAGTTAACTGAAATTGAACACGATTAATCCAAAAACAACAGTAAACCGAAAGAAAGTTAAATCCCTGATATTTTTTCTTTCATTTGAGCAACCTCTCTAAACCTAAAGTCAGCCTAAAGTAAGTAAATTTCAGCGGTCCTGAAGATTTTGGTTAAAGCAGATTCCTCTGTATCTTGGTATATTAGTGCGCATATCATAAGCATCTAAGCTCGGATGTATTTCCACGATATTCCCGTCCGTGTTCTGTTTCTGCCTACATTCCTTCTTTGGGAAAAGTCCTTTGCATTCAAAAACAGCTTTAGGTTTTTTACTTCATATATTATAAGCAAAAATGACATAGGCCCTGTTGTAATGGTTCAAGTTTTTAGTCAGAGGTATTGCCATAGAGTTAAATTAAAGAGTAACATACAAAGAAAAGAAGGAGAAGAGATCAAGGATGATAGTTATTTGATAGAATAGAGAGAGCAAACCACACCCGAGCACCTGCCAACCACCAAGGCAATGGTCCAAGACGCTGACAATTGTAAACAATATCAATATTGACGTAGTTAAAAGAAATAAATGAAACCCTGTTAGCTGGAAATATACCTGATGGAGCAGTGATAGCTGCCAAACAGATGTCAATACCAATTGTAGAGGCTTCCCCTTGTAATACATACATGTTTGGATTTGCAGAGACGGCGAATGGGTCGTTGGCGGGTGCTCTGGTGTGGTTTGTTCCTTCTTTTCAACGTTCATGTAAAATATGTTATTCTTAACCTTATCGCCTCCTTTTCTTGTAGGTGGGTGGCTTGCTCCTTCTTTCCTATCAAACATCTATTGTCCTTGGCTCTTCTCATTCTTTTTTTGTTTGTTACTATACTCTTGTGACACTTCTTATCTTCGGCACTTATTCATTGTGTTGCAAGTGCTGTAAAACTCTTATTAAAACTAAGGAACAAAACTTCTTTTCTTTACAATTTACTCTCTAGTAGCCTCTCTAATTTCCGGCACTTATCGCTTATATGACCAATTTGTGTGCAAGTGCTGTATAACTCTAACCAAAAACTAAAATTTACAAGAGACAAAGCAAAATGAATTGTGGCTCATTCCCTTTTCAAAGAGATGTTAAGGGGTTTGTTTTTTTGTGGGGGAGGGGGGGGAGTTAAGAGGTCAGACATGGGAATATTTGCTGTCCAGTAGGACCAGTTGCAGAGCCCCATTAAAAAAAATATTTATTCATAATCACAATGAAGGACAAGTAATAGATTCTGATTTCGGCGACCATACCTCAGTCGAAAACCTTGCCAAGGAAATAGCTGTTGTAAGTGCACATTTTGGCAATGTACTGTTTAGGTATCATTTCGATTGCTTATGTAAGACTGTCATATGTCACTGACTTTTCCAAAAGCGCATGTAAAGTTTTACACAAAGCAGTCGATTTGTCAAGTAGACGTGGCAGCCAGACAAAAACAATGCAAGGAAGCTGATAGTGAAACGGGGGTCTCTTATTTAATAGGCTCCTTGCCTTGCATATAATATGATGGAGTTATGTTCTTTTTTTTTTTTTGGTAAGTGTTTTTTTATGACGCTTGCATCTGCATGAGGTCATATGAGCGCGCGGGAGACACCAAACATTTTCAGTTGGTAGGAATTTTGAATTTTACATGGGATCAATTTTGGACCACCAAGGGATATTGCACAACTTGCAAACGGGACCTCCGAGATTTTTCGCCCTTGTCCGAGAAGGCTAGGTGTAGATTTTACCTACCATAAGATCAGGGGTGAGGCTGAAAGACAGCAATAAGAAGGAGCCAAGGAGAAGTAGTAGAAAGGCTGCAGAAAGAGTCAGGAGCCTGGAGGAGGGGGCAAAGGTGGTGAAGGGGTGGGGACAGAAAGTGGAGACGAAAGCATATGGCAGAACATTATTACAGAGCAGGAAAGGATGTGAAATGAGAAAATTTTAGAGAAGAATATTTTCCATCGCTATCCGGATTCAAACCCGGGACCTTTTGAATGAGAGGCGAACACCATAACCTCTAGGCCACAAGAGCCCCCCGCAGATAAGTTCAATTTTCATTTTGGGAAGATATTTTATCAAGCACTTCGGTCTGCTTAAAAGTATCCAACAGTTCATGATTGTCCTGACCGGTTAATTTATATTATAATGAATGTGACTGTGAGCCTGTTAGTGAGTGCAAGAATACTATTGTATTATTACGGTTATGTACAGAGATGTGTGTTGAAGAGAAGATGTGTGAGAGAGTGTTTGTGTATTATATAGGTGTGCGCATGTGCATGTGTGTGGGTGTGTGTGTGTGTGTGTACACGGTGAAACACCAAACCAATGTGCCAGGACCTGGACAATAAAGATGTATCTTATCTTATAAAAGTAAAAGCAGCCCTCCTCCTCTGGTCAAATTGTTGTCGTATGGGGGGTAAAATGTTCACTTCTATTTACACCCATTCAACTGAAGGAGTTGACAGAAGTAAGTTAGCTTTCTGTGTAAAATCTCTGATCTCCCATTCCATCAATCAAAATGGTGTGTGATAAATGTTTCCCCTTTTCAGAATGATTACTTAATTGACATGTTGAAGGCTTTGCAACTGATGCGATCAGTAGGGAGAGAAATTGAGTAAACTCATTTATTTAATCCTAATAAAATAACACAACACTTGCATACATTATATAAATGCATAGAGCAAGCAATTTTTATTTCACATTATTAATAAGTACAAATACCTAGAAGTAGAAGCCCAATCCTCTTAATTAATATAAGCTTGTCACAGAAAGGAATGGCTTTCCCTAGACCGTAGGCAGAATACAGTAAAGTCACCACCAAATTCTACAGACAGTGACTTCATGGCACAAATAGTCCTTTTTCCTGTCCGCTGAAAAAGAAGATATGTTAAAAGACTTATCCATGTTACACAATTTTCAACTCAAAATTGTTAGATGGTTGTGGGGAAGAAAAAAAAATGCTGTGAATATTTGGGTAAAAGTAAAAATGGCACAAATTCTTAGCAATTACACATTCATCACACATGATAAAATCACAGAGATATGACACACACATTTAAAAAGAGCAGTTCAAACGTCTCAACCATGACACAATAATTAACAGACCCTGATCTCATCAAGTTCATCCACGAATTTCACAGAAACCGTTTTCAATTTCAGCTTTTTGATTAGGATTATTCTTAGTCCTGTTTCTCCTTGTTTCTAGTTCAAGCATGAATATAAAATATTCTAAATACAACTTGGATCTTCACACGAAAGCATAAAAATCAACTGATACAAACGAATCACCAGGGAATTGTTACTACTCTGGTTTGAGATTACAAACTCCTATATTCTTTAAATTTTCTAAACTCATGGTTGTAATGTTGTATGTACTACTTTATTCCAATTTCCAAATAGTTGTACATTTACATATATATATAGAGAGGCCAACTCACATCTTCTCAGATAACTGCTGTTGTTATATTAAAATGAGAGTCAGCCAAAGGCTTCCACGATGGCAGGTGGAGCTGACGCACAGCACAAGACAAATGTCAGATGGTGAGAGAACTCACACGATTCTTACAATTCATCTCTTGAAGAAACTGAAAAACAGGAAAGCTGTGTCTCCACTTCATGTACAGTACACAAGACTTTCTTATAGTACTGGTGACCAATTGTAACAAAAACCCTTGTCAATCTAGAGGCCTATCCCCATGGATGGAACCAGAAAGCTAAAAGCAAATTGGAACATATTGCATTGACTTTATATACTCTATGCTATATAAAATCAGACATCGTAATTGATAATACATATCATTAAAAGACAGGAGGAATTCTTAAAAAGTGTGAACAAGCACTAATGAAAGCAGAAAGGCATACATGATGTAAACACAGTGCTACTGATCCAGATATCCATGTGTAAATTACTAAACAACATTTGATTTAGTACATGCTCACACATTGCTGTTGTACTGTTGCTATCTATCTTGACATCCGCACGGTAAAAGACTTGATCCAAAGTAACACTGGTGCCTATTTACACTATAATACATATGGTAAAAAAGGAACTTAGTCAGGCTAAAGACCTGACTTCACAACATTTACATAACAGTATTGTTCCCAAGGCTAGGAGAAAGTTATTGTACATTTATGTACTATGCTGAGCAAGCATTCAATGACACGGAATACACTGAGCGACAAAAATCCATGGTGTCATGAATTATCTGACAACTTCAAAACCTGTCATGGACATGACTGGCTGAGGACTAGTAAACACGTGATGAAATGCATTATTGTATGAGTATGAACAAAAACTGAAATCACACCAGACTTTCTGAGGATATGCTGTTATAAAAAGAGTTGTTGAGCTATAGTTTACATAAAATGAGCACAAACCATTGTGTTACAATTACAAAAAACAACAGATAAGGACAAGAACAACATTGAAAGAGACAAAATTTTGTTTCTGATCTCCCAGAGAAATATAGACTTCTAAATTTGGATCCTTGTGTACCTAAATTTATAATGAATGAAGCCTCATAATCATAATAAGTAGTCCATGTTTTCAATCTCATACAGTGAAAAAAACAAAACAACTAAAACAAAAAAAATGGTATGAAGACTGAACATGCTCATTTACGTGAGTGTGCAGCACTGCAGAAACTTGACACCAGAAAGATCTGGTTGGTCTTCATTTATTTTTGTAGCCATCTGAGCATTTCAGTCCAGCAGTCTTGAAACACCTTTCATGGCGACTGTAAACTTAAACAGGGTTGATTTGACAGACACATGGATGTGTCTTTGAGCAAAACATATTAAACCTTACCCAAAAGACACAACCAACCCGTACACAGAGAATAATGCTGTGCTGGGCCAAACTCAAAGCTCAAGACTGGAAATTTTGAGTAACAAATGGGAACAAACTTTCGTTCAGAAACAAAAAAAAAGAGAAAAAAAACTGCCTTATTTTCCAATTTTCTTTTTCTTTTGTCCAGAAAACTACTGGCAGGTTGTAGGATGGCATCACTGGTACGACCTCCTTCTTTTCTTTCCCCTCTGTCGTTTCTCTGTCCGTCTCAGTCTTCCCCAACACCACATGACTGTTCCTGCATCAGTGTGCTCCCCTTTACTCAAACAAACAGAACAAATGAAAACTGTTAGTCTATTGGAAGTGCATGGCAGGGTCCCACCGTCAGGAAAGAGCTCTTCTTCCAGCCCTGTCTCCACTTGCAACGGCTTCAGATTATGTCTCATCTCCATGTGCGTGGAGTATTGCGTGGAGAGTCATCCAACAGGACAAAAGGATTCTGTTGGTTATTCCCAAACCACAAAGCAGATGGGAGGGAGTGCTTAGTTTGCTTACTTGTGTGCAACTCTCGCCTCAGGTGTCCTTTCTGTAAATAAAATTAATGTGATAAAAAGTCACTTATCTATTGTTTTACTGAGAGTTTTACCCCCCTCACTAAAGTTACTTAAAAATGTCATCAATTTAAAAACAACAAATTTTTTTCAAAAACTGTTATCAGCATGGTTATTGCATACGTCATATCTTTGGATTAAATTACACTTCTCACTCAGTATAACACAATGTCAAAGGCTATCACAACTATTACTTTATAGCCTATATACATCTAAGATACACTCTAACCGTTTTCATAATCTTTATTTCAAATTTTCTAGATGGTGTTGTATTTTTCAGCTGATTCATAATTAATTTTAATTTTCGTACACTGAGACACATACAGTGATGTCTTTGATCAGTACTTATTGACCCATGATAACGCAGCTGTTAAGTGGTTGGTTTTTTTTAAAACTTACATAAAAGTGCTGATAAGTACTTTAAAAAACCCCAGTCAAACTGTCCAAGACAGCCACCCATTGTTGAGGAGAAAAGTGGCCATCTTTGACAAGTGAATGTCTTACAAAAAGTGTAATCATATTAATTGTAAAAAATAGGTAAGGGTAGATATAGGAAGTAGCCATTTGAACAGGTGATTGTGTAGTTCAAATGGTCATTAGAGCAGTTTGACTGCACAATAATCGAATCATTCTATGGGCTTTGAGAACATTACGGTTATTCCATTTTTTATTACAATTTTTTTGCGGATGTGTGGTAGTATTTCCCAAAACTTCAAAATGCAAAGAAAAATTGCTCACTGTTGCACATGCCGTGGCCATGCTATATTGGCATCCAGTCGCTTGAAAGCAAAGTAGCAATCCTTGTGCTGAAGCTTGTGGTCTCCTTTGACAATCTGTGGGCAATCTGCCTCATTCAGCTGGCTCTCTGGAGAAAAAAAATTAACACAACATCAGGGTTTAATTTAAGTCCATTTTGTTTAAGGCTTTTTAATGCACTTCACAAAGTAAGTTATTTCAAAAGACGAGCACTCATTCATTCTATCAGTCCCATAGTCACATATCAAGACATCTTATTCTTAGCAAGAGAAAATATTCGGAGAAAGACACAAATTCAAGCAATGCTCAAATCTGAAATTTAAATTCATGTGTGTCAGCAAAACTGATAACAAACCAAGCCTTGAAAAAATCGACTGATAGTAAAAAAGAACAAAGCAGACCAGAACCAAAGAGCAGCTCATTCTTTGGTAATCAGTTCGAGAATTTACTTCGAGACTATTTTTCACTCACCTACTCCATCACAGAGAAGAAACAGTCCATAATCTTGTGGGTTGGTAACCTTGAACTTGTGAGCAATTAAAGCACCTGGAGGTAAAAAGGTAATTTAAAATATTACGCAATGAGGAAAGTTAAGAGAGTCACACCACAAGATGGGAAACATTCATTTTCTAAACTTTCTCAGAGCAAGGTAAAAAAAACAAAAAAAACACTCACAAACCACTACTACTCTGATTCCAAAGTATCTGGTACTTCCAGCTCCAATTTCAAAATTAATCAAGTAATCATACTGTTTCTTTATATTAAAGATTTCAAGCTTAAAAAATCCTTCAACCAACCAAAGGGCAATATGTGCTTTTAAACTTGTCTTTTTGGCGCTCATATGACCTTATGCAGTTGCGAGCGCTGTAAACCTCTACTAAAATTAAAACTAAACTTGTCTTATTAATTCAGTCATCTAATTCAAATAATTGAAGAGTATGGAACATCTATTAACCTGCAAAATTAAACAACTCATCTCTATCCTCTCATATACAATAGATTTGATTTGAAACATAGACATTCTGCATGCATTTGAGGGAAGTGGGGGGGGGGGGGGTGGGACAGGGAGGCACAAAAGTTATCTAAAGGGGATTATACTTACGGACATCCCGTGTGTTCATGTTGGGTCTGACAGGAAGTGTCTTCCACGTGATGGAGCCATGCACCTCGTCCGGGATGGCGATCTTCAAGAAGCCTTGCATGTCTGAGATGGTTGGAAGGTGACCCTGACAACAGGAGATGAAAGAAAAATTTAAGTTTTAGGAGGTGATTTAATTTGATGCCGACGTAACAAATTGCAGTATAACATGGATAGGTCAAACACAGAAGACTCGAAATAACGCATCCACTGAACTGTACCTGCGGTCCCGTTTCTTTTCCCTTCTTTATCTTTGTAAGATATCCCTTGAACTATGGATCCCTCAAACTACCAAGGCCAGTTTCAACAAATTCGAGCAATCCGTGTTATACTATATACCAAACATAGTATTACACGGAACTTGATAAAGAAATAATTAAGCCGGTCGGAATGATCCCCCATTGTGAAGGAGAAAAGTAGTAATCTTTAACAGTGTCACTGTAATGATATAAAATTTTGTACTGGTGTTCTCTAGAGCAGATTCAACTGTATTCACAACAGTTTTTTCCCGTTTCTGAAGTTATTCGAGGATAGTTTTCCAATAGAATTCCTCACCTTAAAAATATTAATGAACCCTTACCTAAAAGACAGGACTAACTCTTACTCAAAGAATGCTGCCCTGAAGAGACAAACCATAGTATCCGTAAATGTTTGCAATGAGTCCGGTCAGATTGAGCATTACTGTTGTTCTGAACAAATATTTCCAGTAGAATTCACATTTACTAAGAATGTTATAAACATGTGTCAGTCTTTTTTTATCAGTAGTTATTAGACAGGTCAACAGTACATGGTATTTAAACTCTTTCAGTAACTTACACAATCAAATTGCATTGTAAAACATACACCCAACCAATTCAGCAGTGGAATTCCTTACCTCTATATGCATGGTGTTGGTCTGCTGATGAGTGGCTGCAAAGTTTTTCAACACCAGGACAGCGCTAGACAAAGTGGTCAAATAGTATCCGCCTTCTCCGGTCAACAGCGACGGCTGCAGCAGACCCCACATGAAGTCCGCCTCCACCTCTGCGGCCACCAGACCACAGTGGACGATAACGTAGATGAGAACAGGGAGAAAATCTGGGGGGGAAAAAGAGAAGCAAATTGGTGAATACAGATGAGCTGTGAAACAAATTCTAAATAATGTAAAGAGAGCAAGCTAGCAGCACAATGGACTCCACAAGAGATAGTATCAAGATAGCACAAAAAACTCAAGTTTTATTATTAAAACCTTTGCAGTAGCTTCATACTAATTTCCTTCTTTATATATATATATGTGTGTGTGTGTGTGTGTCTGGGGAGGCAAGAAAGTTATAATTTTATCCCAAAACACTTGATCAAAGTTCATTATAATTATAAAAAAGCTCAATAAAACATAAGAATTTAACAATAATTTGCAGAGTTTAAAAAACCCAACTGCTTTCACCTGTATTACCTCTACTTTACCTACACATTTTAATTATAAATATTCCACATTCTATCAAGAAGCTTATGATTACTGTCTGCTTTATACTTTTTAGTTTACACACAAAATTCAACTACAGTAGATTTTCCAAGTTTCAATTAAGGAAATAAAATATTTGAGGGACTTATTTTTATGAGAAGTGGTAAATACAACCATAAGGTTAAACCCCAAAAGGTAACAGAGAACAGAAAGAAGAAAACAAATTACTTCAAACTTTTTTAAATTAGAAAAGTATCTCACTCAGGGTATTCAAGTGACAATCATAAATTGACACCGAACTGTGGTGCCGATACATTACATGGAAGTAATCTGATATGCACCCTTAAAATCAAATTACAGCAAAGCTAAAAGGCTATTCAGTTGAACTTGTCAAAAACCTCCAGCCATTGCTGAGGAGAAAAGTATTCATCTTCAGCTGGTGGTCACCCTGAACAATGTCATTATAACGTAGAGAAAAAAAAATGGCCGGGGGTGGGGGGTGGGGGACATCAACGGGAAGTGTCATTTATATATATGGTTGTCTTGACCAATTGGTCATTGTTCGGTTCGAGCAAGTTTAACTGTGCTTTGCAAGTGAAAGGAAGGACTAAGGAAGGGATAAATAAAGGCATATGTCCAACACCTTAACACCCAGCCATATGTGAAAAGTAACTATATACAGTCGGGCACGGATAACTCAAACACATCGGGAATTGACAAATTTGTTTGCCACCAATAACGAAAGATTAAAGAGATATCAGTCAGGAAGTGGCAAATCGTACGAGCTATCTATGATTTCAAGTTTCTGTGCTTTTGTTATCTGTGCCCCACTGTACATGAATGGAAACTCGATGGCTATAAAAACATTTTTTCATGGTAGGAAATTGTAGAGAACTTACCATCAGCACCTAAAGAGGACGGTCCCCGGCTGGGCAGCTGGTGGACTTTACCTTGGACCTGGAGATTTATTATGTTGGTAACTGTGAGCCAGGCAAGAGGTGCTTTCAGACTACTAGGAAATGTACAGAAAGGAGAAATTATGGGAACAAGAACCAAGACAAAGATTTTCACACCAGTGTCAAAAACGTATTAATCTATGAATCAGAAACATGTAAATTTACAAAACAAGCTTTGAAAAAGCTACATGCATTTGTCAACATTTGCTTATTTATGAAAAATGTTCAATTTAAAAATCACTGCCCTGATACCATAAGAAATGAACAATTACTTAAACAAATAATTCAACAGAAAAGAGAGACTGAAATCAAAAAAGAGAGAATATGGAAGTGGATTGGGCACACCTTGAGGAAACTAAAAACAAGCATTTCCCACCTTCCAAGCTTTAAGATGGAATCCACAAGGAAAGAACAAGAGGGGAGGGCCTAAACGCACTTGGAGGAAAGACATAGACTCAGACGGTTGAGACCTAAAGGAGATGAGATGCAGCTGAACATAGGTGAAGACTATAGTCTAAGACAGAGGTACATGGGGAGCTCTTGTTGGTGGACTATAATCCCACACACATAGAAAAGGGATGATGATGATGATGATGATGATGATGATGATGATGATGATGATGATGATGATGATGATGATGAACAGTGAGCTACAATATATTGGGTCACAGCAGAGAAAGAATGTTACATGGCACTAATGAAAGTATAACAAGCATAAGCGATTGGGGCACATTAGACCCATCAAATAATGAAATGACACAATATGTCACAGCGGGCATGCCCTGGTAGAAAATGGCTAAAAGTTATTGATATAAATGAATCAAAGGAGCTAAAAAAATAATCAGTCGTTCCAAGTTCTGAGATTTCTTTTTTCTACGTTTGAAGAAAGGGTACGAAGCTATTGGAAGTTTCCCTGCTGTCTAGTGACCTACACCTGTGTAATAAGCACTCAGAGCTTATACTTGTAAGGGACAGAGCACTAAATAAATGCATTCTTTTTTTCAAGTCCTGAACATAATATTCATGTTCATGTATGTTCTTTGTATTTAATTAAACAAGTGCATAGCAAAATTAACAAATAACGAAAAGATTTCTGGATCCAGCCGCTTTCGCTATGTGCGTGCAAGACTGTAACTTAATGCATGTTGTAACTGTGTATTTGTTTCGTGGTAACTGAGAGGGAAGAAACTGGGAAGAATATTCTTAGAGAAATATCTACCTTGTGACAGTTTATGCAATACTACAAGGCAGGAGGAAAAATGGAGGGTGGTGGTGGTTGTGGTGATGGTTGGGGGGGGGGGGGGGGTAGAAAAGAGGAGGAGGCATTATGTTAACAAGACTATCCACACAGAGCTACTATGAAATAGGACAATAAAGAACTATGAGCACGCATTGCTCCATGAAACTTACACAATGATAAATGGTGGAGGTGGCCTTGAGCAGATGTTCCAATTTCTGTAAAGGCGAATAAGCCCGTTGCATCAGTTCCAGTTGTCTTTTGATCCTTTCCATATCTTGACCACTGGGAAGTTGGAGTCCAGGCTTAAGACAAAAAAAAAAGAACCATATGATGGTAACGAAGCAAAGGTAAAAATCTCTTAGATTTCACCCACAAAAGTCATACCCAAAATCTCCCATATCATATCATTTTCACCCAATAGAGTGTTCAACTTTCTAGCATTTCATGCATGTAGTACATCAAAAACACTTACCTAGACTGCCACATACTGGTATGCAGTGTGGCTCTATTTAGTTAGAAAGTTTCTATCATATGAAATCAAGAACTCAGGTGAATAACAGCTTTGGTCAGAGGAAAAATATTGAGAACTATTGCTTTTCTGTCATATCTGTATTATGCCCACTGACGACCTTTCCACGTACTACAGGTTTAAAGAAATCACCAGTATGCGACTACAGCCATTTGTGACAAAAATGGTATTGATGAACAAAATGGAACAAAATGCTGTCCCCTTCCTCGAAGTCTTTAAATTTAAACGTGTTATCAATACCTTGTAAAAAAAAACAACAATGAAATACAGTGACACTTAAACTGAAGGCCTTGAGCAAGGCAAACTTTCTTTTTTTCATCATTTATTACCCAAGGTACCCTGCTTGTACATATTTCATCCTCTGATCTGACAAAATCAAAATTTGCTTCCACTTACCTTGACACCAATCTCTTGAGAAGATCGTGAACGGGCATATTTGATATTGTCAGATAATTGTTGAAGAGCTCCATTTCTGTGATGAAACAAGAAAACAGAGCACACTATGAGAAGAAGTGAAGAAAATTCACATTATTTGAGATAAATATCAGTTTGACAATAAGCACCAGTATAAGTTATGTCATGGATTTGTTGCAGTTTACAGTTCTTTCTTAGCTGCCAGTTAGTAGTAGGCCTGAATTAGAATATGAACATGCGACCATTCTTAAATAAAACAATACAATTAACCTAAATACTGACAAAACATTAAATCTTCAGAAGGATTACATTTTACAGCCAGGTTTCATCTGAAGAACATCACTGTAGAAGACAGATTTTTAGAGGCCAAGGCCTGTTCGAGCGATAAAGCAATCACAGTTGCTGTGGTTGTTATTGTAGTTGTCATTGTTGCTGTTGTTGTCATTGACATTATCACTGACGATGATGTAGCAGAGCTGTTGGCAGTGGCAGGTGAGATTGATGACGTCTACCTTTCTGAAGTAACGAATTATTTTAGGTTCAATAAGAGTTTTACGGCACTTGCACCAAAAAACATGAAATTTAAGTAACGAAGATTAGAGGCGTTACAAGATAGTAACATACAAAGAAAAGAAGGAGAAGGGATAAAGATGACAGAGGTTTGATAAGAAAAGAAAAAACAAACTACCCCAGACCACCCGCAAACCATCCACAAGGAACAGGATCGGACAAAAAAACCCCACACAGTAAGATAGGAAAATGCTAAAACGAATAGACCTGACCAGGGCACCCACCAACTACATAATTAAGTGACCTGACACAATTCAGAGAACACTGACCTGCTGTAGGTGTCCACAAACAACCTGTACAGATGGTGCTTGACCGGTCGGAGGACACACACATGTAGAGACTGCTCCAGGATGGCATCGATGTTGAGAATCTCGTTCACTTTCAACTGTAAGAGAGACAGAAAAACATGAGAATCTCGTTCACTTTCAGTTGAAAGAGAGATAGAAAAATATGAGAATCTCATTCACTGTCAGCTGTAAGAGAGATAGACAAATATGAGAATCTCGTTCACTTTCAACTGTAAGAGAGACAGAAAAACATGAGAATCTCGTTCACTTTCAGTTGAAAGAGAGATAGAAAAATATGAGAATCTCATTCACTGTCAGCTGTAAGAGAGATAGACAAATATGAGAATCTCGTTCACTTTCAGCTGTAAGAGAGATAGAAAAATATGAGAATCTCATTCACTGAAAGCTGTAAGAGAGATAGAAGAACATGAGAATCTCATTCACTTTCAGTTGTAAGAGAGATAGAAAAACATGAGAATCTCATTCATTTCCAGCTGTAGGAGAGATACAAAAACATGAGAATCTCATTCACTTTCAGCTTTTCAGAGAGATAGGAGAATGCAAAAGGAAAATTACAATGGTTTCAAAACTCTAGGGTAGAGTGTGTCTGTGTTTGTGTGCAATAAGTGTGAATTTGTGTGAGAGAATGTGTGTGTGCATGTGCACACATGTGTCGTACATGTGTGTGTGCATGTGTGTGCATATGCGTGCATGTATGAGAGAGAGTGTGTGTTTGAGGATAGAAGTAAGAGCAAGATCATAAGAACAGTGGGAACCATTTGGATAACCATACTAGTAAGAACAAAAAACATAGAGCATCCACACACAAATAACTAGAGTTCGTCAAAAATAACTAGAGTTTGTGCGGTCACATGACCTTATGCAGTCGAGGGCACTGTGAAACTCTAACTAGACTAAACTAAACTACAATAGCTAGAGTGACAAATCTGTGTTACCTTGCTTCTCTCCCGCTCAATCAAGTCCTCCAGCTCTCCTTCTCCATGCTTCACAAGGTAGTTCTTGATCCCGTTCATGAATTGTCGAACCTGTAGGAGACAAATAAAACAACTTTTATTGCATGAAAAGAAACCACAACTATTTCTATAATTATCGTAAATATATAATATAGTCGCTGTCTCAAGAAAATTGAGTCACTCCAATGACTTTTACTCATCTTGTAGAGCAAGTTTAAACGGAGTTACTTATTTTTCTTGTGACAACAAAGATAGAGTCACTGAGTCACTAAGAACAAAATAACAATCCCTACTCAATAAAATCCAAGACTTCTCATCCCATAATCAATTTTTGTCCATGCTTTGCTGCTGTTATCAATCCAAGTCCACGCTTAGCATGTCTTTTTTTGTAGCCATTGCCCAGTTCTGCTAATAGTGGCAACATTCGAACATTATAAAAAATATATTTGATTTTTAAAAATTAATGTTAAGTCTTGAAACCACTTTTGGTTCTTCCTTACCACTTCCACTGGTAGCTGTAAGTAAGCATAAATATGTGTGTGTGTGTGTGAGTGTGTGTGTGTGTGTGTGTGTGTGTGTGTGTGTGTGTGTGTGTGTGTGTGTGTGTGTGTGAGAGAGAGAGTGTGTGTGTATGAGTGTGTGTGAGCATGTGTGTGTGTAAGTGTGAGTGTGTTTAAAAGCTTTTGGGTGTACAATACATATGGAAATAAGGGAAATTTGGAATGTCTGCACACCGCCAGTTTTGAGAATACACATAAATACACATAAACTTTTGTAAAGAAAGAGAGCAGAGCAAAAGAACAAGAGCTTACATTTCTCATGACATGCTGCGGATTTGTCTCTTGGCTCTCCAGCGTGCACTGGATGAAGTTCTCAATGGTGCTGCCAAAGGTGGTGTGTGTGTCTGATGAAAGTCTGAAAGAAATCATTAAGCACAAGAAAAAAATGATGAATTCAAAACAAATAAAGTAACACCTTGGGGTAAAAAAAATCCCAAGAAGCTCATTGTGAGAAAATCTTAACATTGGTACGGTGGCTAGCTCATTTGCAAATAATTTTATATTACAATTTAACAGCTCCTGATGAAGCCTGACTAATGAAACACCACACATTTCTACGGCTGGTATTTCTGTTTTAGTTTTAGTAAGTGTTTCACGGCCCTTGCAACACAATAAAGTCATATAAGTGCCAAAGATTAGAGGTGCTACAAAAGAGTAACAAACACCAAAAAGGAGGAGAGATAAGGACAATAGATGTTTGATAGGAAAGAAGAAGCACACCATATCAGAGCACCCGCTAACCACCCACCTACTATTTCTTACCAAAACCTTTATCAATAAAGATTCTTACTTTGACTCCATGACAATCATACAGTTGTTAACTTTCTGTCAATACAGCAAGTCTGAACAAAACAACAAAGCCTTGCTAATGATATCTTTAATCCATGCAGGGTAAAGAGTAACAAAAACAGCACTGAAATCACAAATCATCAGTTAGCTCCTTTGTGCATTGAGGCAATATAGATATCTAATAACGATAAAAAGTAATAAATTTCACATGCTTCTTGTAACTTTTCGACTTAATTTTCTAATTCTTATTTAAGATAGTAGCTTTTCAAGCCTCTAACATTGCAAAATGGAAAATGCTACCATGAGCGTGAAAAATTACTGGTATCCCAAATAGTCATAACTTGTGGCCACCGTAAACATTTAGAAAAACTAGAAGAGTGTTACAATTGCCCAAAATCATTTTATACATACATTTACGTACACAAAAGTGTATGTAACCCTATACCCTCCCTCCCCCACAACACCAAAAGGTAAAAACATTGGATAGCAAACTTACTTCACGATGTAATCTTTGATCTTAGCTCCTGGACTTTTCATACTGCTCGAATTTCGCCGTGAGTCTGTAGAGGACCAAAGGATACTCATTATGAAAAAAAACCTTCTTTAGTCAGTCCTCATGGCTGGTCTTTTTTCTTCAGAGCTCATAGATAAAAAAGTAAATAAGCAAAATGACAGATCTGAACAGCCAACAAATGATGAAAGTAGAATACAGAAAGGAAAAATAAATAGTGCTCACAGGACTAAAATCCAGCTTCAAAGCCAAAAATGGAACTATATAATCTGGGTTTAAAATCTGAGTAACATTAAGTGCATCCAGGGAAAACTACTTGTTAATGTGTAATCTGTCATGACATCAATCATAAGCTCAGATATGACACCAACAGGAAACCTAAACATATAAAAACACAAAAAAAGCTCATTGAAAAATATATAATATGAGGCGCAACAAACACAGAGGTAAGATAAAACTTTAATGTTCCATTCAGAATGTCATTAACCTAGTATGCATATATACGGGTGGATCACCACTCTCTCTGAAACCACATTTGGGTCAGCCTGTGGAGTCAAGTGCAAAAGACACTCTTGATTAAATTATTTCAAGAATGGGTGGGGGAGGTGGGAGGAGGAAAGGAGAGAAAATTACTTTATACCAAAACAATTTTTTTTTAAATAGTAGAGAGTTTTACAGCGATCGCAACTGCATAAGGTCATATGAGCGCCAAGGGGTGGGTGTCAACAGAGAAGTCTTTACAGGGAATCAGACTTAGACTGCTCACCTCTCTGGCTTCAACATCACAAGGTCTGCTTCGACTATCAAGGCACCCCGGAAATAACAGGTCACAAGAGAGTGACAAACATAAAAAAGAAGTAGAGGAAATGACAATAGTAAGGATCAGGAAAGAAAAAGCAACAGTTCCCTGTTGTAGATCAGGCACAGTTACGAGCGTGACATGAGTCGGCCCATTTACAATTCCACTATGCTTGAACGAGAAATGTCCCCCCTTTGGGAATGGCCTAAAGACACTACAGTCAGTGGCACTGCCCCGGGGGGTATACCAAAACAGATTCACACTACATCTGCAATAATGTAGAAGCCGAGAATGTTTCCGAATGCTCTTCGCTCTGCTGGGGTAATAAAAGTTGTAAAGTGCATAGATCATACTGTAGACAGTTGATATGTGCTATATAAATGCAATTATTATTATCATTGTTATCATTATTACTATAATTATCAGTATTATTATCATCATCATTATTATCATAAGAATTAAAATAATAATAATAATTATAATTTTTATTTTTATTATCATTATTAGTGTTGTTATCATTATTGTGGTTATTACTGTTAACGTTATTATTCTTATTGTTATTATTATCATAATCTTCTTACTATTATTCCTGCAACTAAAGCATACAGACTGACATAAATACTAACTGTCAAACCTACCAGGGTTCAGAGTGTTTCCTCTTGTATCCGGGTCACCAGTCTGCTGCTGATCCACATGCTCGGTCTCGTCTGGTTCCATGGCCGGAATCCTGTACCCGGCCAGCTCCGACGAGGATTGGACGGCCTGAGAGCTGGAGTCGTTGGCTACGCTGTGGCAGTGCACCACGTCGGGACACTTCGAGGACAGCCTCTCCAGCGCCGGCTTGTTCTTGCCGCTGGTGTCAGTGTTGCAGTTGTTGTTGTTGTTGTTGTTGTTGGGGATGGCGGTGTTATTGTTGTTGTTGTTGCAGCTGCTGCTGCTGCTGTGATTGATGTTGCTGGTAAGGTTTGTTCCCACATGATCAGATTCATGCTGAGATCTTTTGCTGGTTAATTCTGTAATGATATTTCAGATATTGATTTACATTCCAGACATCAGTTCTGAAATTCAGTGATCATCAGTCTATTGCGATATAATTTTTTTTTAAAGTGGGGAAACTGAAGCTCATATTGTCGGTCACTACCCTTTAAATTACCTGGTCAGTATACAGTTGTTCGTTATCATAATAGGTAACAGGGAAACTTAAGCCCATTATATATGTCAGTCCTTAACCTTTAAAATACCTGGTCAGGACACAGTAGTTTGCTGCCATAGTAAAGGGTAACAGGAAAGCTCAAAGAGTCTGAGCTCTCTTGTTTCAACCTGGGATATAAATTAGTCTTGCGAAGAGGTTATTTCCCTCTACATTCCACTATCGACTTGAAGAAGATCCTAGAACTGTTCATAAAATAAGCATTTATGGACATGACACTTGACAGCCTTCCCTTGCAAAATCTTAGAACATTTTTTAAAATTCAGGAGTCATTTGATATTGCAGTATTTGGGATCAGAAATTTGTCCATCCATCAATTTAATCAAATCAACCTCCTTGTGCAAGGTCAAGAAAAACGTACAGGTATAATTCATTGTCGAGACAAAAAGTGGTCACCCTAAAAAGGTGATCCTTGTGGACGATAATTTTTTCTAAAACCCAAGGGGACACAGGGAAGTTGTCGTTTGTAGAAGTGATTGTCTTGGACAATTACTGGTCGTTAGTGCAGGTTTGACTGTAGTAATGAATTAGGAGAAATCCCTAAACTTTCAAAAGAGTATTGAGTAAGAAGATAGGAACACAAAAATGGTTATCGGGAACAAAAACAACAACACAAAAAAGCAACCAAAAAAAAAAAAAATGTAAAACAATAACCTTTCTACACAAACTGAATGTGAAACACTTCCAGAATAACGTCCCTTAAAAAAGAAAAATATTACCAAAGCCTCTTTCTGTCTAACCTGACGATTTCGAAGCCGCTCTCTCCCTCCCTTGTTGCTGGTGCTGCTGCTGATGATGGCCATCAATCGAAGATCCCGAGTCCAGCCGGTTTGATCGCTTGACCTCCGACCTAGGAGACGCGGGCACATCCATCCCTGACATTATATTCCCCTTCCCCGCCCCTTCCTGGTAGCTGGAGTTGGCTTCCTGCCAGCGCTGTACGCGCTCCTGCAGGTCCATGGCCGGGGGCAGGGTGGGCGACGGCGTTGTCTGCATCAGCTGGTTGGCTTTGCCAGACTCCCAGGGCGGGGAGTAGACTGTACCCTGACTACTGTGGGTGGACTGCAGGAGGGAACCAGAGGACGAGGGTGGGGG